GCTATTTGTATTCCGAAGCCACAGGAGAAAGAATAGATTAAAGATAATAAAATTGTCGATAGAGGGTGGACAGTATTAATACACTCCACCCTCACATTTAGAACTTCTGTGGAACCACAGAAAGTAATTGCATGGAGGATGTATGGGGAAGAAGACTAAAGAAGAAGATATAAGACTATATTGTAAATACCGATGTGTGATTCATACAGATAGAATCAATATACTTAATCATGAAAGAATCTTCCTCGCCTTTTAATTTTTTGTAAGTAATTTTTGCATCAGATTTCACTGCAAAAATATATACATTTTTTAGGAGCTAACAATATGTGTCTATTCAATATGGTGCGCAAAACTTACTGAGGTCTTTTTTCTGTAAAAAAAAAATTTTTCACTCGTTTCTTTGACACACTCTACAAATATTTGTATTGTAATGTGATATTGCTAGTTTATATGCTAAGACAATACCCATATGTTTTACAATTAAGCTTATAACCTTGATTTTTACCCTTATATGTTAATGAAAAATTGGTTAAGGTATGCTATATTGGTAATATAAAGGTAATAGGAAAACTAAACTAGCACTACAAACTACTAACTACTACAACTACACTATACTTTATCATAGCGTATTTTCATAACATGGAACAATTTGATTTATTAAGTGTTAAAATATCCTAGCCATAAACGTGACGTAACTGGAATGCGCGACGGGCGGTATGTGTTGTACTTACGCTTTGTTACAAGAATTCTAATTTAAATACATTCTTTTACATCAACTTATATAACCCAAGATATTTTATACTATACATAGATATGTAATACTTATACAAAATCACCGGAGGAAAATTTTCCTATTTCCAAACAGTGTGACAGCACACATTGAAACGTTTCTTTGAATGGTCAACTATAAGTGTGGGAAATTTCATAATTCTCTGCCTAATGGATAATGGTCTTAATGGAAATCTATAAGTGTGGGAAATTTCATAATCCTCTGTCTGCGCAATTTTCGTAAAAAGGGGTAGAAAGTTTTTGCTTCACGGATTAATATAGATAATAATAAAGAGGATGATAAGTGTTTGTCTATTTAACATAAGTGTAAAAAAAATCTCGACGAGCATCCGTCGTTCTCGTCCCTGTATTAAACTTATTTTACTATCGCTTTCTTTATTAGCCACGAAAACGTTCCAACTGGAAAACAAATTTCACTCGCTGCACTCCCGGCGCGTTAATAACATATCTGTAGCATAAAATATCATTGAAAGACAATTTATGATGGTCTTATAGCGAAGAGATCGTGGTATGTCAAAATTTTAAATGAGTACAAAGTAAAGCGAAGGTGTTTACTTAATTTCTGTACGCCTTTTTTTGCCATGATATTATACCACTGTTGGCCTTACAGTAGTAATAGGGTCCCGTTTTACCCTTTGGGTACGGAACCCTAAAAATAAGTTTTATATTTGCCGCCAAAATTGCCTCTTTTTATCCTGCTCGTAATGACATTTCAAACGTTACGCCATATTTTTCCGATCGTTACGTTAGTGACGTCTGTTGATTTTGGTTTTGCACAAACAATGAGAATACAATCAGAAGTGGAACATGATTGTTTTGTGTCTGATACAGCCTTGATCCATTGCATATGCGGTAAAAATAATACAAACAACTTTGGAAAAAAGAAGGTCGCCTACTCGTCACTTATGCAAAATAAAAAAAATTATTCATCCTACGCGCTGTTAACGCGGGCCAGATGTGAAAACATTTTTCTTACAAAATCGTTAATCGCAGGATAAATGGTATAACGAATTTTGTTGCTTTTCACTTTTTTTTAAACTCGATATGCAAAACTTTATATACTACTTTACGCTGGACAACTGTTAGACTGTGCTTTTTTTTTCAGAACTAGGCTTATTCGTATACCAGGAGAAGCAGCAATTATTAATAAGTTCCCTAAAAGTTTTCTTTCACGGAAGGACCTAAAATGTTGAAACGAATTCGATTATACGGATACACAATTATATAAAATTAAATAAACTTAAATGAAAATCCGATCTCGCAATCTTATCGGACCGTTCGAATATGTTTTCATGGTAAGGACGCTGCTCCATTTTTTATAAACGTACATATATGAAATAATGTTTAGTTGTATAATAATTAAATGTTAGTGATGTTCCGGATATCCGTATCCGTATCCGCGGATATCCGTCGGAAAAAAAGATCCGTATCCGTAAAAATGGAGCGATTTTTGACGGATCTTTACCCTTGTAATCGTAATAAAATGAAAATTCTAATTAAGTAAATTATTACACTGTGACACTCAAAGTGTTAACTTTTGATTAAAAACACAGTGACAATTAAAGGAACGATAAATTGTACTTCAAAACTTGTTGTGAGTAACTTGGCAGCTTCATCCCCCAAAATTCATGATAAAAGATAAATATGTGCGAGTAATATAAATATATTTATATTTATATTACTCGCACATATTACTTTCGGGCACATTTTTTACATAAAGTTCTTCCCAGTCCCAAACTAAGCAACGCTTGTACTATGGGGTACTAGATAACTGATAAACATACTTTTCTTTTGTAAATAAATACACATAATAAAAACTCTCAAAAAAAATGTTCATCACACAATATTTTTCCAGTAGTAGGTATCGAACCCACACCTTCTGGCGCAAGAGGCAGGTTTACTACCTACTCCCCACGCCAATCAGGCCAAAAACAAGGACGGTAGATACTCTAATATTGCGATTTTCCTGGATATTAAGTTAAGATCCGTATCCGTATCCGCGGATTTTGTCGCCAATGATCCGTATCCGCGGATCTACAATTTTAATGATGCGTTACCACTATTAAATATATCACTTCAAAATAGAATATATATAAAAATGTATAAATGTTTTATATGTAAGCAGAACATGATCAAGGGGCGTCAAGTTATCCCCCCGTCGTGCTGCCACCTTGTTGTGGTGGAGGGGCTTGCGTGTCCTAATGACCTCCAAGGCTATGCCGGATAGGGTCTCCCATACCGGACAGGCTCGGAGCGAGGGACCAGACGAAGAGCAGCACAAGGAGGGGCTCTCCGTGTGATTCTCTCATCAGCAGAGAACACATCGGATAGGGCCTAGGAGGACGGGTCGGCGCGCTGACTAATCTCAGTGCGTCTGACGCCACCGTCGGAGGAGATTTCGCCAACTCCTCGTTCCGCAACCAGCGACTCACTTCAACGACCCTTCTGGTGGCTCCAGTTGGAGATGTTGTGTGGGTATTTGTGTGTGTGTATGTGTATGTGTTTGGGAGTGTATATGTGTAAGTGCTTCTGTGTTGCTGGTCGGAGGGCTTGCCTTAATTGGCCGGCCCGCGGGAAGGAAAACCCTATAAAGCCCGAGAGAACCCTCGTTAAAACCCTATAAAGCCTGTGGATACCTGGGGACCTCCACAGTATGTACCCCACTCCACTTTTTAGTCGACCGGAATGGGCGTAACCCGGGGAGTGCATCTATATCGTCCCAACTCGTGGGAATAAAAATGGAAAAGAAAAATCTAAAAGGAAATGACGTTCTTAAGGAGTTAGGCGTACAGCTCGAACGCTGTGATACCCAAAGAAAGGAGGATGGCCCTTTGACATCAACCACAGTAGGGAGTTTAGAGGAGGTAGGCGGTATATCCGCGTCAGATTCTGGCTCTGAAATGAGCCTGGAATTGGAAAAAAGCGTAGCTAGCAACGCTAGCTTCGCCAGTATGGGTAGCGGAGAGGCCCAGAGAGTGCGCAAGAAGCGCACTCGCGCCTCGGATGCAGACGCCGAAGCAGATGATCATCCGGAATCTTCGGCGTTCAAAAGGAGAGGCACCCCTGTGCCTAAAAGGGGTAGAGGCCGCCCGCCCAATAGTGGGCAGTATTTGGGGCTGGCGAAAGGGAAGCGGGAGCTCATGGAAGCCAGGAGGGCAGAGATGGAGCTCCAGGCGGAGAAGGAGGTTCCAGAGCTGATCCAAAGGCGCCGGCTCGATAGAGCATTGCGCCCCGCTGGCTTTGACGACGTAGTCGACTCTCGCCTTTCTTCGACCCTGCTTGAGAGGGTCGATGATGGCATTAAAGTGTGACGTGTGCTACTTCGACCTGAATGCAGATCAACTCAATAAACTCGACCGACTTCTGAATAACTGCATTCGATTCGTTTTCAATCTTCGCAAGTATGACCATGTATCTACTTACCGTGCTCAACTGCAGTGGCTACCCATACGTCAACGACGCTCTCTAAGAGCACTGACTACTCTATACTCTTTCCTGAACTCTTCTTCTTTTTTCCGACTTACTTATCCCATCATTTCCAATATCTATGTGCCGTTAGCAATAAAAACCTTCGCTCCTCGCATAATCGTCTTCTCGTATGTCCTCCTCACCGTTCTGATTTCATGCATTCTTCCTTCTTTATCCAGTCTATCCTTCTGTGGAATGAGCTACCTCTCAAAATCAGGTTGGCTAAAAGTCGCTTTGTATTTAAAAAAAAAGCACGTGAGCACATCCTCAAAAACTTGTCGGCAGGTCAACTCCATCGTTAATTGTCAGAATTTATTTATGTATATGTATATATGTATTTATAATTGTCTGTATACATTTATTTATGTATGTATATATGATTTTATGCATATATTTAGAAAGATATTTATGTATTAGTATGTATGTACATACACCTGTTAGTATTTATTATATATATACTATAATTAACATGTGTATATACTTTCATTTACAACAGTTTATATTTTAACAGTGTTTTCTTTTTATTTATTTCTTTTGACATCTTTCTGTGCACCTACCGAATCTTCTCTGTACCACCCCAAGGTTGACTGGGAGATAATGCCTGTGGCATTAAGTCCGCCTCTGTACAGCTTGTGCATAAAGTATAAATAAATAAATAAATAAATAAAGTCATCACCAAAGTCGCTACGAAATCAAAGAACCTGAAGGGCACTTTTGTAAAAGCCCTTAAGGAAGCGGCTGAGATGATCCGGGAGGCGGTGAACGGTCTACAGAGCATATCATCGACTGATGAAACCCGCCGCCTCCAGGCCGACAACAAACGGCTGCGGGACGAGGTGGCGACGCTCCAAAAGGAGGTTGCTAGCATGCGTCTCAGTATAGAGAAGGCGCCTCGCCCAGCCCAGGAACGGACGCCGGCACCAACACTGCAGGCTGAGCATATCGCGCGTGATGTACTATCCCAAGTAGGGACGATGATCAGCGCGCGATTCGAGGCTCTCGAGGAGCGCTTGCTCCCGGAGAAGCGCCTGAGGCCGCCTTTGGCTGCGGATAGGCGTAGCGCCGAACCTGGGCCTTCATCGGCACCAGATCCCACCCCTACCTCTCTGGGAGAGACATGGAGTGCAGTGGTACGGAAGGGAAAGGGGAAGGGAAAGAAGACAGCGCCCGCGCTTGACGTGCAGATGTCGGCTTCCATCTCCGCCAAGCCAAAGAAGTCTGTGGCTAAGCCCTTCGCGACGCCTAAGCCACCTACGGCCGCCGTGAAATCTATTACGGTGCCGAGGCCCCCATTGGTCGCAACGGGATCCGCTGCGGTGCCCAAGTCCGGTACGGCATCAAGACCCGCTGTGGCCACTGCGACGCCAGCCGCCGCTAATAAAAAGAAACGGAGGCGTAGAGCCCGCAAACTACGTGCCCCTACGACGGCAGCTGTAGTAATCACACTACAGCACGATGCCGTCGAAAAGGGGGTTACGTATAGTGATGTTCTCACCAAAGCCCGTCAGAGGTTAGATCTGACGGCCTTGAACATCCCGGCAGGCCTGAAAATAAGGCAGGCGGCCACGGGAGCTCGAGTTCTCGAGCTTCCAGTAGGGGTCACGAGCGAAGCAGCGGACAGTTTCGCCGCGAAGCTCCGTGAGGTCCTAGCCGGAGAAGCACGGATCGCCAGGCCGGTGAAGTGCGCGGATTTGCGTCTTACTGGCCTGGATGATTCCGTCACCAGGGATGAGGTGCTCGCTGCGATTGTCGCTGCAGCCGCCTGTCCCCTTGACCACGTCAAGGCGGGTGAAATTCGGGAGGGCCGCCGGGGCACTGGCTGCATCTGGGTGCAATGTCCAGTGGCAGCTGCTAAGGTCCTGGTGTCAGCTCGGAGTATGAGGATTGGCTGGAGCTATGTGCACGTCGAGTCCCTGGAGCCGCGGCCTATGAAGTGTTTCCGATGCCTAGAAATCGGGCACACGCGACTCCAGTGCACTTCGGAGGTGGACCGCAGCGATATTTGTTATCGCTGCAGTGCTCCTGGACACAAAGCAGCGGCATGCTTAGCCAAACCCCACTGCGCAGTATGCGCAGTTGCAGGTAGGCCAGCTGAGCACTCGGTGGGGGCTAAGGGTTGCTCCCCACCGAAAAAAGGGAAAATAGCCGGCAGGACCCCGGCATCCCAGCAGGTGGATCGGGATTCGTCCCGACAAGAGGAAATGTGTGTCGACTCTAATAATGGATAGGGATAGACATTTCCTCCAGATAAACCTAAACCATTGCGCCGGTGCCCAGGATCTATTATTCCAGGCACTGGCGCAATGGCAAATTGGACTGGCGGTGGTAGCGGAGCCTTATTGCATACCCGCCAACTGGATAGGGGATGCTACGGGCACGGCGGCCATCTATGTTCCAGATGGTACCACGCCCCTTTTTCCGTCAAAGAGAGGGGAAATGGTTTTGTGGCGGCCGACTGGGGGAAATACACAATATTCTCGGTGTATTTTTCCCCAAACAAAACCCTCGCTGAACTCGAGACGCTCCTCGGTGATATGCAGGCGGCCATTAGGCGAGTTGCACCTCGACCGGTAATTGTGGCGGGCGACTTTAATGCCAAGAATACGGCTTGGGGATCGCCTGCCACAGACGTGCGGGGGATTGCGGTTGAAGACTGGGCCACGGAATCTGGGTTGGCACTTCTCAACTGCGGCACATCACAAACCTGTGTTCGGGTCCAAGGGGGGTCCATTGTAGACCTTTCCTTTGCGAGCCCGGCGGTTGCTCAGGCAGTACGAGATTGGCGAGTTATGGGGGAGGTGGAGACGCTGTCGGATCACTTATATATCCGCTTCAGCGTCTCCTCCTCCAGAGGGATGCAGTTGGTCCCCGCCTTCCCTGCGATGGCCTCAACGTTTCCGCGATGGGCCCTCGCGGGGTTGGACGTTGACCTGCTGAAGGAGGCCGCCATCGTCGAGTCCTGGAGCTCCCCGCCTCCGGGGACGACGGACGAGGAGGCGATGTGTTTCCGCAGCGCGATCACCAGGGTCTGCGATGCCTGCATGGTCCGCGTGCGGCAAAGACCTCAAAAGAGGCAGGTGTACTGGTGGTCACCTGACATTGCGGATCTTCGGCGACGCTGTGTCGCCGCCCGCCGGAAGTTCCAACGACAGCGGCGGCGGCGGCCGCGGAATGAGGAACTGAATGACCATCTGCAGAGGGCGTATCACGACGCCAAAAAATCCTTGCAGCTGGCCATCCTGAGGGCCAAAGACACTGCCTGGGGTGAGCTCCTCGCGGGCTTGGACCGCGATCCCTGGGGTCGTCCATACCGAGCAACCAGGGGCAAGCTTGGTCGGGGTCCGCCGCCTGCTGAATCTATTCCACCGGAACGGCTGGCCACGGTGCTGGTCCCACCGGTGCCTGAGCCGGAAACCACCGAGGAGGTGCCTCTGGTATCCGAGGGTGAGATGGGAGCCGCACTTCTGCGGCTTCGTGGGCGCAAAACGGCCCCTGGCCCCGATGGTGTGCCCGGCAGGGCTCTGGTCTTGGCCTTGGGGCCCCTAGAGGAACGCTTGAGGAAGCTTTTCACCGCTTGTCTTCGGCGTGGAGAGTTCCCGCAGTGTTGGAAGGCGGGCAGGGTTGTTCTCCTTCGTAAGGAGGGACGCCCTGAAGAATCGCCCTCGGCTTACCGGCCAATCATCCTGTTGGACGAGGCCGGTAAGCTGTTGGAGAGGGTGGTCGCCTCGCGCATCATACGTCATATGATGCGCGAGGGTCCTGACCTGTCCGACGCCCAATACGGGTTCCGACCATCGCGCTCCACAATAGACGCCATATTGTGTGTCAAGGGGTATGCGGAGGAGCAGGCGCAAACGGCAACGTGGTGTTGGCGGTGTCTCTTGACATCGCAAACGCATTCAATACCCTGCCGTTCGCTACCATCGAGGAGGGCCTCCGATACCACCGACTCCCCCGGTACTTGCGTGCATTTATTGTGGCGTACCTACGGGGAAGGAGCGTTGTGTGTGTGTAGGGCGCGATGGCGTCCTCGTACAGAGGGAAACGTGGTGCGGTGTTCCACAGGGATCGGTCCTTGGCCCACTCCTGTGGAACATCGGCTACGACAGGGTACTCCGTGGTGCCCTGCTGCGCGGGCTTCGTGTTGTCTGCTATGCTGACGACACACTCGTTCTTGCCCGCGGCGCGACGCATCAGGAGGCGACCCAGCTGGCGGTGGTCGGTGTGGGACTAGTGGTGTCCCGCATCAGAGCTCAAGGCCTACGGGTGGCCCTTGAGAAAACCAAGGCCCTATTTTTCCATGGACCTAGAAGGAGGCTGGCTGCAGGCACACCACTCCGGATCGGAGAAGTGGAGGTCCGGGTCGAGTCCGAGATGAAGTATCTCGGACTCGTCCTAGACGGACGGTGGACGTTCGCCGCTCACTTTCGCCGGCTGACACCGAATCTGTTAAAGGCATCCGCTGCTCTTGGACGCCTCTTGCCTAATGTGGGGGGACCAGGGTCGGTCTGCCGCCGCCTGTACATGGGGGTCATCAGATCGATGGCCCTCTACGGAGCTCCTGTGTGGGTGGATGCCTTGAGTGCCACGAATAGAGCGTTGCTGCGACGACCGCAGCGCGCCATGGCACTCAGGGCTATACGCGGCTACCGCACAGTGGCCGGCGAGGCGGCGTGTGCTTTGGCGGGATCCCCACCATGGGACTTAGAGGCTAAAGTCCTCGCGGAGGTATATCGCCGAGTCGCTGAGGCGAAGGGGTGCGGCGATAACGTTTCCACCGAACGAATCGCAAGGTGGCGACGCCAGGCGCGCATCATTTTGATGCGCACCTGGCAGGAACGTTTGGCGGCTCCCACTGCCGGACATAGAGTGGCACAGGCCATTAGGCCTGTCCTGGAGAAGTGGATCGGTTCCCGAAATGGCAGTTTGTCATTCCGGATGGTGCAGGTGATGACTGGGCATGGATGCTTCGGTCATTACCTGCACGCTATCGGGAGGGAACCGAGCCAAAGGTGCCACCATTGTGTGCTGCGCCGACGACGATACGGCGCAGCACACGATGACGGAATGCCCGGCGTGGGAGGAGCCGCGAGGGCGGCTCCGTGACGTCGTCGGGTCGGATCTCTCTCGCTGCCGGCCATCTTTAGAACAATGGTCGACAGCAGGGCGGCGTGGAGGGCGATGGCCTCCTTCTGCGAGACAGTCGTTTTACAGAAGGAGGCCGCCGAAAGGGAGAGGGAGGAGAATGCTTCTTCCGACCCGATCCGGCGACGTCGCATGGGGAGAAGGCGGGCGGCACACGAGCGCCGTCTCCCGCCCTAATGGGCCTCCGGGTGACAGACGTGGGGACGTCTGTCACCTAACGGTATGAGGCCCCGCGAAGACTAAGTGCCCACTGGTGTCATGGGCACTCATGCGGAGAACGGGGACAAAAGTCCCTTCGTGGTGTGCCCCAGCCCTGTGCAGGGTCGGGGTAGCCGTGGCTGGGTTGCAGCAGAATCGCTTAAGCGGGCCCTGCAATCCAGCATTTGACGGCAGAGGAGGACACCCGATGGGTTTTAGTTGGTAGGTCTGCCCTTCTCAGAGCGGGAGTCCAACATAACTCTCCTTGCTTCCCCTAAGGAGAGTATGCATGACGCATTTCCCATCGTTAAAAAAAAAAAAAAAAAAAGGGGCGTCAAGTTATAAAAGACGCATATTAAAATCGCATCCATCCAGGCGCATACGTATCATTAAATATCTCTTTTTATCGAATTAATGAGACCGAACTTGACGCATAATTTCAAGTACGGTAGACTAGGTATTTCTACATAGGTATATTAGCGGATTTATATTTTTAGGAATTACTTATCGAAAAGTTTTATGTACATACTTGAAGTATTTTTGCAACTGATAACAAAATGATTGGTCTTCTCACTCAAACCTTTCAGAGCTTACTCTAGCTTTTTTGGCACATAAACGCGTAGGGTTGGTCCGTAATATATTTATTTATTTTGTTAATATTGATACAATGTATTTTTCACTAACAGTAATCATTATAACAAATAAATTATTACTGTGGTAGGGCCACGCAACAGTCTTCGCTGTTGCACGAATGGGCAGGTCCGTCCCGGTAAGTACCACGACACAATAATCAACTCACAGAAGATCGGCGTAAAGTAGAAATGTTACACTTCTGCGTTTCGTCTGGTGGGCGAGGTAGTTGGGGCCCACTTTATTTAAAGGTGGCAACGCATTTGCAACCCTAAGGCTGTTGCAAATGTCCATGGGCGGCGGTTATCACTTAACATCAGGTGAACCGCCAGCTCGTTTGCCACTTTCTCACATAAAAAAAAAGAAATCATTTATACCTTCTATTTAGGCTTATAACATTAAATTTATAAATAATGCAAACCTTAATGTAAAATTATCATTAAAATATCTCATTAAAATCGCGCCCCACTTATTTATCATTTCACATGTATAAATTTATCATTTTATTAGAGTACGTTTAGTTTAAGCAGAAATGGAAGGTCCTTTTTAAATTTGTTGTCCAGCTCTGAACCCTACCAATTCAAACCAAATCAATTAATTGCTCCTTTGAAAGGATGGAAACGCTCTGCCAGACAGGATATTTCATATCATTTTTATCATTGACATTGACTTTATTTTGAGCCACGAAATAAATTCTTTTATTTATAACTGCCATCTCTTTCTGTTTAGCGTATAAAAATCAACGTTTCTTTGTTTGTCACATTATCTCTAGTACCTACTATTATTATCTGTGCAAATACAATAACGAATTCGTGTTTTTATTAAAAGGTTAAAAAACTTATAGTAAAATAATAATTATGGTCGTTATAAGTAGGTTTAATTAATTAATTAATATCTTTATTCTAATGAATTATTATACCTCCAGAAACACCGATCTTCGTTAAATGAAATCATAGTTACTGACTTTGTTATGTTTTATTTCAAATTTTATATCTCAGAGATTTGAAGAATTTACAGCTTGTACCTGTGTTTTTCAACTGTCTGTGTTATGTGGGGATGTCGTACCCGTTGGGAAGTTGCATACTAATTTCACGTTTACCGTTTTGAATACGTTTTCAGAATGCCAGTCTCTTTTTGGAGACCTCCAATAGCCAGGTATGGCTCAACCCAACAAAGTATTGCGTCGACATGATGACTAATCTATCGGAGAACGACACTCGATTGGTGGCCGTTGTCTGTTACCCGGATAAAGACTCCAATGATGACAGCCCAGTTCTGTACGTTACTTATGCCGTTGGTAAGTGTTTCACGGATTGTTTTTGATTCTCATTTTACCATGTTTCATTTCAAATTTAAGTTCCTAACATTTCGATCAACGCCGTCTTTGACTATACCAGGCTCCTTGGGCACACAAGAATATGGGTACCTTTTTTATGTGAAAAGTTGCTAAGCGAGCAGGTGGTGAACCTGATGTTAAGTGAATACCGCCGCCCATGGACATCTGCTACACTCGAGGGTTGCAGGTGTTTGCGAACCTTTTGAAAAATGGGCTCCGGCTACCTCACTCACCAGATAAAACGCGAAAGAATTATACTTCCACTTGAAGCCGGTCTTCTTTTATAATTTTACCTTCGCAACGAGACCTACGGTTATTCGGGATGTCTGTGGGTGCTAGGGGTCGTTTACCATCAGGGGAAAAACCACCTCGTGTGACAAATACTCTATAAACCAAGGTTTTTAATTGAGCAGGCGGCTTTTGTTAAATTATGCTTATATAATTCATATTTCGCGTATCATTCATCAAATTCTGAGGTTAAACGCCCAACATTACGCCTTCGCTTAGGTTAATAGGCCATTAGCTTTATAGCTTTATTACGTTCGCAATTTTATCGGAGTCGCGTTGGTGTGGAATTACGATTCGAACCATAAAATTGTCAAGTGGGGCATGTTCACGATAATCAAACGGTACCATATCAGTTGTTCATAACGAGACCGTGAAACATTGTATTATACAGTAAGCAAATTGTGGTAGAGTTTATTCAAAACCTATTTGTGAGAAAAGATTAAGAGCGGAGAGGTTCCTTATCCATACATGTTTTTCGACTTACGCCCGGTTTCTGAAACACTGATCATCGTAGATGTCAACTAATTAGCTGTCAAATGGCTTTTCAAATGTCATTTGAATTGCCAAAATGCCAATTGATCATTGTGATCGTTAAGAAGATAATTCTGGTCAATTCAGAGAGTTTAATCATCCTTTTGGCAATTAAAGTGAAAATTGAAAAGCCATTTGAAAGCTGATTAGTTGACATCTACGATAATCATCATCATCATCATCATCATTTCAGCCTGTTTGAGTCCACTGCTGAACATAGGCCTCCCCCATAGACTGCCATGAAGTACGATCCTGAGCCACCTACGATAATCAGTGTTTCAGAAACCGGGCGTGACTGTTCAATATCACTGACAGTATTTAACTGCATGATGGAGCAAAGGTTTAGGTGCTGATAGCCCAAAACCAGCCGCGTTGTGGGTTCGATCCCCATACGGAACAGTTATTTGTGTGCATAGATTTTTGCTTCAAGTCTAATTTATGCATAATATGGTTTTCATATGTGCGCACCCTCCCGCTATACAGATTCTTTTATTTCGCTTTCTTTATTTTTTTGAAAAGATAAATTTTAAAAAGAAATTATAAATTTCCGTATATCAGACGCAAACTCTGTCTGTAAGCAAAATATGTGTCCATACTTTTCCTAGAAGCCTAAGAAGAATAAATTGTGAGTCCAAAATTTCTACTACTTCTTGCATATATTCCTGTCAATTCCAACGTTTTAGTGGTATATTGGAATGGGACATAATATAAAATGCTCCATCGCTCTATGTCCATCCCCAGTGGACCCAACGTTGCGGTAGACAGCGAGCGATGGCAGACATCTAAATCAGTCAAAGCAATCAATATCGGCCGTGTCTATGACGCAGTTGTATGTCTTATGTATGTATTGCATACTCGAATCATATATCGTTAGGGTGACGTTCATTTTTTTACTTTGGAAAACTTACGACACACGAATCCTCTATAAAAAGAATAATTAGAAAAGTTATTAAAGACGTAGTGGTAGGTATTTTAACTGCAAAAGAAGAAATTTAAACAGATTTTTATATTTTGATATCCATGAAGTTATAATCTAAAACGATATATCACATCACTTTAAGATTTTATATAATTCAATGATTCAGATAAGAGGAGTTTTATATTTATGATTTTACTAATTTTTTCCAATGAACTTAAGTAAAAAAGTCTGAGTTTTTTTAAAAACTCGGAAAACTTGCGGGAGCGTCTAACTACTAAACGCCGGACGCGTCAACTTCAAAAGGATAAATCGCATGTGAAATGGAATAGGAAACATTAATCTTTATTTACGCAGCTTTTATTTTTCAGGTCTGATGCTGTCAATTCCGTTCCTAATCGCGACCTTCATTGTTTACGCCTTCATACCGGAGTTGCGGAACCTGCACGGTATGTGCCTGATGGCGTATTGTGCAGGCCTGATCGTCGCCTACGCGTTTCTAGCCTATCTGAAGCTGCATACTGGAAAAATTGGAGTAGACATGACGGGCTGCTACGCGATCGGTAAGAATCCCACGTGAATGCTCGTATTGTTCTGTCGCTCTATCATTATTCCTTTTTTTTTCGTATAATCTATCACTGTCTCATATTATCATGGAAAGCAGGACAGATTTATCACTCATCATTTGCTATAACGACTTGGTGGCGCGGAATGACGAGTTGCTAAACTATTGGCTTCGGCGTTGGGGGTCGTGGGTTCGATTTGCAAACGGGACGGGCTGGCGGCCGGTCGTAAAAATCGTAGCCAAAACCACTTACAACATGATTCACATTTTATGCCGACCCCACCTAGGTGGGATAAGGGCAGGAGGATGATGATGATGTTTTGCTATGACGACAAATTTTTGAGGTTTTCTTTGGCGCGTTTTAAAAATTATGATAGTAAAATTTTTACAATGCGCGCATACTCCGACCCTCAAAAAACGACAAGATGCTTGGTAACCAATTTAACATCGGCAACCAATAACAACTTTTTGACATTTAATAATAATTCCAAGATATCTAAATGAACCGTTAACATTTGCATATCACGTCTTTATACTAAAGAAGTATAAATTCTTAAGTGCGTACAGTACACACATACTGTTTAAGTGTTAGTGTCTGCACTTAGGGCGAATCTCAAAAATGTGCAGATCTTAAAAATGTGCACAGAAGAACCTGCGCTCTCCTGATTATGTGTCCAGCCATTCTCGAGCCACTAAGCTAAGCGGTCGATATCGTCACCACACGAAGCGTCGAGATTTTCGCGGACAAATTAGTGTAGGGGAGACCGGGGTTGGTTGACCAAGTTTCAGCTTAAAGGCTTCTATTTTTATTCCTTTAGAGTATATTTATTTAAAAATGGGTTCAGGTCATAGATTTACTTTTGAGCTTTGGAAAGAAGTGGCAAAAAGCACGTTATTCATTAAGATGTAGAGTGCAGGCCAGTTCTTATATAATAGGAAAAACTGGTCAACCTACCCCATGTTTGGGGTAGGTTGACTATTCATCTGGGGTAAGTTGACCTATGAAGTTGTAAAGGCAAAATCTGCGAGGAAATAGGATAAAAGACACAAAAAATTATTACTCATATTGTTTATTGCAAGCAATAGGCGATCTTCCGCCATTTCAATTAAACACAATAAAATTAAAATTATAAGAAAAACAATCAGACGCTTGAACATTAGGTAATTTGAGTATCCAAAAAAAAAAACAAAGTACTTTCGTAAGTATTTAAAACAAAACGAAAAAACTTCTTATAAACCTTTGGTAACGGATAATCATATCTAAGTAATGTAATTATATTTATTATTTGGTAACCGTTTTGACGTATATATGTATGTTTATATATTAATTATATAAAATAATTTATTTTCTGTCTTCTAAATCGGTGATGCAATTTTTGCATTCATAGAAGAATATGCTCCCGTTTACACATTTTGTGTTACCACTAGCACCCAGTGCATTGAATCCATTTTTCTCCTAAAATGCTAGAGCTATAGGATTCAGTGATGACGATGAAAGTGATGACGATGAACGGTTTTGTTTCATCAAACAAAACGTTGAATCCTCATCACTTTCATCGTCGTCACTTATCTTCTTATAAGCCTCACCATATAATAGTTTTCTTGCTTTTACCCTTTCTTTTATTACATTTTCTGCCTGATGGTTTCTTTGTTTTCTTGATCAGCATCTTACTAGATTGTTGTTTTTCCTTAAGTTGCATAAGATTTTCTTTTTCTGGTGTATCTGTGTAAATAGTGCTTTTTCGTTTTCAAACATGTCTTTTATTTTCTGTTCAGGTTTCGGAATGGGTCTAATATCATCAAGTATTTTGGGACTGGTTGACCAGGTGGTCAACCAGCCCCGTTATACATTAGTCTACTAGCCCTGAACCACGTTTTAATTTTGAACCGCGTGCCATAACTTCAAAACTGCAACGATATGAAATAGAATAATACATAAAATAAAGACCATGAATCAAACATTCGTTGTAAATGTTTTGAAAATCAATAACCATGAATAAATATGCATCATAACAATTAACATTACAACAAAAATAATTACTTACGTGCGTTGTTTTTCAATATTCCGTTCCTTCTCCTAAACGACGTGCGTGCGCGACGCGACCCGGTGATTGAGCGGGGGGGAGATGACGGACTCTCGTGCCTCACTGGTTGGCTCAAGGCTACGGCTGACGACTTTTTAACAGTTAGTCAACCTACCCCTATAGTCAACCAACCCCGGTCTCCCCTACATGTTTTTACGACGACTGTGAACGACCTAACTAACCATGAATTTATTTTGGGATGAAATAAGAAATCTAGAGTGTACTTATCATGAATAATGTCATCTAAATAAAAGCGCTTTGTGCACGATTAATGGGGAAATAGTCTATTTTCCTGGCTGACATCACTCTAATGCTGGTCGTAGGGGAAATGGATCTTTTCGAGTATGTTTCCACATTCGCGAATAATCTCAGCAGCAATCACGTTTATTTATTTATTTATTAAGGTACACCAAAAGCATAACATATACTTACATTTATATATATTATATTTTTTAATTACCTGCATGACGAGATATGAATGAAATATGTATACACATTTGACACCGGATTTTTAAAACACTATTGTATGCCAATGATGCGGTGGAAATACTGGGATGTATAAAAAAATATGGCAAACTTTGTTCACACGCGAGCCAGTGTCACGCAAATCACGCTGACCTCATGTAATCACTACATAATTACATTCGACCGCACCTGAGTATAATAAAATGGCTCTAATTTATATTAACTGCATATTCCACCGTTTCATTAGAGAATAGCTACACTAACAGAATTAAATCAAAAAACTTTTTCTGGGCGTGTAGGAAGATGGGTAGATAAGTCGTTGCTTCTCTATTTGTGGCGAAAGTGCGTGTTGATGTGAGGATTTTGAAAAGTCTTGCAGATAATAATAAAAATATGTGTTAACATCGTAACGGTGGTAGGACCTAGTGACACGAAAGTTGTCTGTCAAGCTTATAGGTGATTGGGAATGCCACGGTAGCTCGACGAACACTCTACTAGACGTCTTAAGTTCGTGCAAATTAAATAAGTGAAAAATAAAGTAAAAGTCTATCCATTACCTAAACGTTTACCCCACTGCCAGGCAAAGGACGACTTTCATTTATTAAAGCTGGCATGAAGCATATAGACCATTTAATATCGAACAAACCTTCAAGATATCTCGCTCGATTGATACGCTTGCTTTCGTTTCGTCTTATTTTAATGTCTCCTATACAAGTAAATTTTTGTTAGTAACAAAAAACAAAACTGATTTTAAATATCTCATTAACATTACAGGTCTGGAGACTGAAAATACAACCGATTTTTTAAATCTGTCGAAAATACGATCTGGTTTTAAATATTATAGTTAGATTGATCCGAAAAATAACTCACTCTTTTTGCACAACATGGTGAAAACTGGCCATGTTGTCGAAAATGATTAGTGTCTAATTTCTTCGACCATCCATTAGGGTAGCATTGGAAAAATTAATATGGCACCCCTAGAGCAGCGTACTGCGTTTTGTCTACGATGATTGATGTTTTTTTTTTAACATACAGCCGCACCTGCGTGTTGCGGCCTGCCATTGGCCCGAATAGTTTTTATGGCTGTTTGCGTTCCTTTCACGGCTCGGGAAACTTCGTTAGGGCAGCTATTAACTAAACAAATTTCAGGAAAACGAGCTCCGTTTGACCCGTAATTTTCACTAACGCATATTTACGATTGGCAAGGACGAATTTGTTTACTTCCTCGTTGATAAATTACACATCGACTTCACGTACTTACATGACCGTTTCTTCCATTTTCTGTTATATTTATAGTACATTCACGCAATAAAATTGATTACTGTTAAATATTATAGTAACTAAAAATATAAAACCTTATCACATAACACAACAAAAATACAAAAACTAACACATTTCTTAATTTCAAACTTACTTAATCAGTTATAACTGAAAATAGATCATCTTCGAAATATCAGTTGGATTATTTTATGAAAAAAATAAACCTTTGAAACAAGACGTCACTAATTATAGAACATATTGCTTTCATAAACATTACAAATAGGCCAAGAAGATAAAAGACGGTGACGATTGACACCAAACTGACTAGCAGATACATTACGACATCTTTATTTGTGATGAATACTTCATTTAAGATAAATATTGATACAACTTTTAAAAACCTCGTGTATAAAATTAGCTAGCTCTTGGTAGTACGATTATAAAATATATTTTCTTGATGAATAAGTTAAAATTAAATAAAAACAAACAAAAAACATATTTACTAAATAAGCTGCTATCTTAGTTTGGCTAAAAAATCGTTGTTCAACTCATGCTGTCATAAAAACAATAATATTTTGTTAAGCTTTTAATGTTTTATTTCGCTTACAACACTAATACCTACATCGAGTCATCTAAGGCGAAGCGTCTAATAAAAATGAATTTAAGTGTAGCGTATCGGATTTCAAAAAAGGGAGGTTTTTAGTTACTGATCCGACAATCGTTTTACTACAAAAATCTCAACTAAAACATACTATTTACTGCTCATGAACCCATTTTTCAGGGTTATCGCGAGGTGTACTGAAATTGTTCTTTGTGGCTTAAAATATCGAAACGGTATTCGCTGAAGGTCATACAACTCAACGTACCAATGTGATGAGGTGGCCACAATGTACGAGGATATATTACGAGCCATACAGTCCTCCAAAATTCAATACATTATTTCAAAATTCAATATATTCAATGGTGTTAATGAGAGACTTCAACTCAAAACCTGTATAAGCCCGTAATGCGAATCTCTAAGGGCTTGTTTCACCATCTACAAGTAAAATGGAAAGTCTAATCACCAGTTAAAGTCACCAGTAACTGCTCGTACAAATTTCATTGGGTATGTAGGAGTGTAGCTCAGTGTCCGGAAGTTCGCCTTTAATTACATTTACTCGATCAACCTGAATTCGATCCCCGGTTCCAGCACCAATGAAATTGTTAATTTTAAGTGCTGAATTATCACGTCCTCGGCGGTGAAGGAAAACATCGTGAGGAAACCTGCAAATTTTCGAAATAATAATAAGAAAAATATTTCGAAAATTTGTGAAGTCCGTCAATCCGCTGTGGGGTCGCGTGGTGGACTATGCCCTGATACCCACTGTATAAAGGAGGCCTTTGCCCAGCAGTGGGACATTTACAGCAGTGGGACTAACCAAAGGTTAAACTAGTCTGTAACTTGCTACTTCATCTGCCTATTAGCGCTGTCTATTGGTTCTGCTTATTTCAAGTATTTTAATATTTGAAATAAGCAGAATGATGTTAAATAAAAAAATCTAATGATATTAAAATATCTCGTCCGCTTCACTTCTTCCTTTTGAAACGTTATCCATGATATTGTTTATTTAAATAAAATAAATCATACGGAAAACCATTACTAACACACAAATTAAATACCACAGAATAACAGTTATTATCAGCAGGTAGACCGCGTGGTAAACTATGTCCTAATACTATCTTTACAGAAGAGGCCTTTGCTCATTGGGTCATGTATATGCTTGATACTTTACTTTTAACTTTGGAAGAGAAATGCTTTTCAGCATTCAGTTCGTCTATATAAGTATTTTTAGGTAGTAACCTATATAAGTTTTTTCAGTTTCAGTAAAAAATATCTACATCTCATTAATTCCAATTTATTATTATGTGTTAAAACATATTTGTTTTTAATATTTAACAAATGAGATCATCAACAATAACATCGATGGTATAAAATAAAAAATGTTTATCAAAATAAAAATCATCATTATTCGATTATTTTCAGCTTTCATCGTTTACTACGCTTTCCAAACGAGCTTCTTCTGGCTTAACGTAATGTGTTTTGACATATGGAGGACGTTCAGGTGACTATAAATCAATTTATTTTATTGGATAAACAGCCCTTTTAAAATTTAACGCATCGAAAATATTTATTATTCCCCAAGCAAGAAGTAATGTTCCGTCCATCTCTCCTCGGTTCATTTCGTATCGTTTTCAATTGATTTAATGGGCAAGGTTAAAAATGTGCTATTTTTTTGTATAATCTGTCCAAATGGCTATTGTTAAAGTATTAATTCGGAATTATTATTTATGTACCATCGCGTCAGGTACTTCAACGTGTATTTTACGTGAGGATTAACCAGCAGTGTCTGAATTTCAGAACGTTAATGCCGACACTACCTGACTGCACCTCATCCCTGTAGGTCTCCATGTGACTAGCTTCCAGGTCGATGTTCATAACTAGCATGTTGGTCATATATCCGTAGTGTCGCAACCATTTGCACAGTTTCGAGCTAAAATTGACGAAAAATTGCCCGTGAATGTTCATCTTATATTCATTAATTTTCTCATGTAGGACACACGAATCCTTTTTCGTTTAACGTAGAAATAATTTAGTGAATAAAATGCTGGCTGAATGAACTTGGTTCAGCATAAAAATCTTAATATATTAAATAAAAAAATTTAATTTGTAAAAATAATGTACCTACACTTTTTTAAATTTACTTTTACACACATACGTTTCACAATGTATAGCTTAATAAGTAGATTAAATACATTAAAGCTGCAATTATACATTGAAGTTGGTTTCTGCGGTATGATATTACCATTTACACGAAATTTATCGTATTTATTACAAACGGCTCCATGTCCACAAATGCAGAATATTCGAAACGTATAAACATAGAGACCAGCATAATTAATAGATATATTTCTTGCTGATTCATGCCGAAGGAATCACATTACATCTTTTATATTTCATATACAAATATTAAGTTCATTTCTATTCTAGAAAATCAATTATGCAGTAGTCACATTCGTAAACTTTTATTTATTTTTCATTTAAAAAATAAGCTATAGATTTCATGTATGCATAAATTAATTGGAAGTATAAACATTTATTCTAAGTTGTTCTAAAACAACACTGGACCGATTGGCATGAAAAATATCGTGAATAACAAACACCATAGTGAATGAATGTTGTGTTCGCTACATGTAGTATGTATGAACGTTTCGAAATTTGTAATATAAAGGTTTTTGATGTGCTCCTTTATTGCAAACCGCTGAACGAAGGACCGGGGGACTAACCTCGTCACAACAGTCAAAATGGTAAGATAAAAATGGATGTCGGAAGGTCGATCTAGAAGACGCGTAGACTACACGATTCTTTAACTTTTCTTTTATGTTTACGTCTTTATTGACCAACAACAATTGTGAATCAGTAACTGAGACATTTAAAATTGCTATATAAACGGAGACTGACGTAAATTCGTGGAGAATTAGGTCTGACGTTAAAATATTTTTTTTAACGTTTTTACTTTATCAATAAACAATTTTTTTTCCGTGGGAGATAAAAATTATCTCTTCATTTTAATTCTCAAAAGGCGTTTCCTTTTTTTGTACGACATAACTTCCATAATTCTTTATCAAATTGATTCAAATACCATTTTAATGCTGTGTTCAGTCATTATAATCAAATTTTCCGGTTGAGAATGGTATTTGATTTAGTAATTAATAGTTATATTTTATATGTATATGGTTCATAAAAAAACTGAGTACCTACAAAATCATTAATAATTACATTTTTTTAAATGTGTAAACAGCGTATTTTCTATTTTTTTACTTTTTAACCTAGCGGTTGCAATGTAACTCGAACTATTTTAACATTCAATATGAAAATCCTGAAAGAAAAATGTGAAACTTTGGTTCCTGTTATTGTTTGACCCAATTTTGGCACGTGTATTTATAAAGCCTTTAATTTAGGATACATCATCCAGTTCCCGGAAATTTGATTTGGCGTCGAAAAGCTATGTTTGGACGTCATTGGTGTTTCCATTTGGCATTTTTATTTCCTTAAACGATAGATCATTTAGGTTTTCTCATATTTTCTCATTCTCGGTAGAGTAAAAAACGGCATGCTTTCGCGCGCACCTAGTTAATTATAAGATATAAGTACTAGCGAATACAATGTTTGATATATAAATTATTCAGAATTACGTATTATGTAATTTATTATGAATACACATTCGTGATAAATTACTAATATAATTCTTTTTATTTTACGGCGTGCAGCAGCTACCGTGGCAGCAGTAATAAGCGTCGGGACAAAAAACGCTTCGGCTTGTACGGGATGTACGCCTGGGGTGTGCCCGTAGTCCTGACGTCTGCCACCATTGCCATGCACTTCGCTGACCTCCCCGACGGCATCATCACGCCGGGCTTCGCCAACAAGAGATGCTGGTTTGACAGTGAGCGAATGTAATTGTAACGGCACTATGCATTCGTGTGTGTGCAGGCTTGCTTTGGCTTGGCACATACTCGTAGCGGTAGAACAAGAAACATTGGCGTGCTTTGGTATTTGGAGAGGCCTAAGCCCAACAGTGCAATGCCGCAGTTTGATGACTGTCTTTAAAAAAATTGCGTCTATTCTATCCTATCATTGCGTCATCGTGAGGAAAATCTAGCTACATAGAAACATTTATTAATTTTGTTTCATTACACACTTCGGGTTCATCTTAAACACAACCTCAAGTTGTAAGCGGACTGTGATGAAGACACGTAACATTTTATTGAATAATTGCTTGAAAATAAAAATATCATATTACATTCCAACTCTAATTCTTCTAAATTAGATAAAGAAGCTCGACTGTATAGCTCAAATGATTTGCAAATATCGAAATCCAAAAAAAATAACTAATAACAAAAAAGCTCTTTAGGGATAAGATCTATTTCATTGATTTGGTAGTTTAGTAAGCGTTTAATATGCAAAAGTATCCTCTAATAAAATGTTTAAGGTGTCAGTTGCGAGGGACCTTGCAGTAAAGGTTTATTTATGTATAAATATCTTATTTATTTTTTAAATATCTTTTATTGTAAAGCCAATGTGCTCGCTTAAAGTATACCCACAAGTCTGTGACCTTGAAGTGAATGAAGTGTCTTGACTCACCAATGAAATGATCTGTAATTATTTATAAACATATTATAACATTCGTTCGTCTCCCCGCCATGGTTCCAACTACTAGGTTATTTTTCTGCTTGACAGATTGGCTGAGCGAGCTCGTATACTTCCTCACGCCGGTCTTGGTGCTTGTTGTTTGCAACGTGGTGCTGTTTTCGGTGACTGCCCATCGAATACGATCTATCAAGCAGGAGACCGCCATTTTGAAGGGTTCTGAATCGGCTAGGAGCGACAAACTTATGAGAGACAAACAGAGGTATCGATAAAAATTATATACCATATCGATTTAGCTTTACTATCATCATAGTTTTATATCAACGATAACTTTTATTATTCAGAATCAGCTTATTGTTATAATTGGTCAATAAAAATACTGATATCTTATGGCTTCTCTTTAAAAATCTGTGCACAAACTGTAATTACTTTCCTTCAACTGCTGCTTTTACATTCAGTAAGTTACTTATTAAGGCTTCATCGAACGCAGAACTAGTTGGCTAGCCAGCAGACACGAGCTTAATACGACCCTTTGATATGGCCGCGCATGTGCTCATAGGTGTGTTATCTATTGTGAGGAATGTCACCTACGGTACCGAGATTCAGTATAGACCACGACCCCATGGCCGTTGACTGTATTAATCTGTGATTAGGGCGTAGAAAATCGCCCTGAAACGCGGTTGTGTACCCGTTGAGTTAGTTTCGCCGTGCTCGTAGGCGATGAGGAACTAATTGATTGTGTTAGCACTATCTGTGGATATAGTATTGTCTTGCTGGATCCCTTGTGAACGTTTCGTTAACTCTTCAAAGTGTTCGCGTAGCGTCGGGAGTCTGAAAACGATATGCTGATTCCAACTAACCCGGGTAGGAAGGTGGATGGACTTATGTTGATTTACCTGAAGTTTATGCAGGTTTGTGGGGGCTTACACGAGCAAAGTACATACAAACGTGGGACATTATGGTCGCCAGTTTTGTATAACTAAAGTTTGTTTGTGCATAATGGGCATTGTATTTGAGAGATTACTTAAGTAACAGAGCCGGACCGTTTCGTATGTTTTTAATATTTGTTGACTAAAATATTTGCTCTAGGTATATATACAATCTGTATTGGTTATGTTACTGTTAATTACGCTAAACGTGCATAGTAATTAATCCAATTAAGTACAAATTAAGTTATGTTACAAAACATAAAAATCACGCATATTATTTTTTCACAGATATGGCCTCTATCTCAAGCTTTTCATTGTTATGGGCGTGAACTGGACAGTTGAGATTATAAGCTTCTCCGTTGGTGGTTCGAACTGGTACTGGATTTTAATAGACATTTCCAACATCGCCCTTGGCGTCTTCATATTCCTTATTTTCGTGTGGAAGAAGAAAGTCCGTAATTTGATTGCTAAGAAGTGAGTATTGTCTATTCACATGATGGTTTTGGTTATAAATGTTGAAGCTTGTACATTTAATAGTCTTAGCGATTGGATTGGTAGTATTTGTTGTTGGAAAATATTCGGAGTTTTATATATTTATTTCATATTTTATACATTGGAAATATTTTAACGGTTTGTTTCATTAGTATGACGATTCCACAATTGAGTGGAAAGTCATAAGGGCGGGTCAGACACTGGATATGATTTTCAAGTTTCACTTGTGTGTTTTCTATGGTACGGAATCGATTTGAATATGTACTCATGTTTTAATACCACTTTATCACAGTTCAAACAATATGATGTAGGTATATTATAATAATATGATCTAAATATTCCCGATTACTTTCCTATTTTCAAATTTCGCTTCTCACTCCTGTTGAAATAAATTTATTTCAACACCACCGCTGTTTCCCTCCTTCTTGTCATTGGCTTAGAGGACGAAATGCCAGAAACAGAAAAAAAAGTCACATTTGCAACGCTGCTCGTTGTTATTGCAGATGGCGCAGTGTTCGCGGCGTGCCGGCGTCCGACAGCGCCGCCCAGTGGGCGACACGCTCAAGCTCCGCTCCGACCGAAGACACGCGCGTGTCTAACGATGAGACCGCACTTCGTTTGAAGGAACTACGCTAAAACTCACCATCGTCAATACTCTAAAGGTATACAATCGGTATATACCTTTATTATGTATGCTAACAATATACATTCTATACTATCCGTGTATGCTAAAAATATACATTCCATATGCTCGTGTCCATTACGCCCCTCTCCTCTTGAAAGCACTATTAATATGGGCTTTTTTAAATCCCTGGTTATCTTAAGATAAGTGTCTAATTTTTTGCGTGCTGTGTTTGCAACGCAACAACGCACAGTTTTTTATGTTCTGTGAGGACGGTCCTTCTCCAAGCGCGTTAGCAGATTAGTGCATCAGGAGAAGCTGTTGCATGGTCCTACAACAATAATTAAATGTAATTAAGTTAGTATTCGGCATATCGGCAAATTTAAAAAATTATATTATTAAGTAGACAATATTTAAAAATATTATCTATTTTCATTTTATTCCAATGGTAATTATTATGATTAAGAAAATGGTCACTCTAAAACCCCTGTATTATATATACCCGCGTACGCTGAGTTTACAAGTTCGATTAAAACTAAACCACTTTTTTTTGGTGGTCGTTTCGTATTTAATGAATGACGATAAAATAAATTCACTTTTTTTTTCAGTACCGATCCCAACGACTACTCTTTCACTTCGAGAAGTTTTACACCAGAACGCGTACAGCTGCCGCTATGACAAACCATATTTTTTTTTCTTAAGTGAATGTGAAAGAGATTTGCTGCATACATGCTATTACACGATTTAAATGTAGCCTTCTTAAACTTTTACATTGCGGTGTATTGTATGTCAAGACAAACTTATCACACCAAATAATAAGTTTAATAATTAATGAGAGTAACAAGAACTGAACGATGAATCCCTTTCTGTTCATCTTAATAATGTACATAGTATGGCTTATTATACTCTTTGTCTCTTTAGCTCGTCTAGGACTAGTAGTATATATAGGAATATAAACGCAATGTGAAGCTGCCGTCAGTTTGTAATTATATAAGTATGAATTGCTAGAATGTTTCTTAGCAAAAACTTAAGGTACACACAAACCGATTCCAGTGCCATATTACTATTAACTTATTGAGTTAAACTTTAATTTTATCCAAATTTTATATCATTCTATATTGATTTCGATTGGTTGATATATGTATAAGTTAATGCACTAGGTTTTAAACAAATTCTAATTCAAATGCGTTGTAATAGTCTTAGGACAAAGATATTAAAATAGTACAGTAAAGTTAAAAATAAAAGATGTTGCAAAAATAGTTTTTCTGTACGGTTATTATAATTAATCATAAGGATTAACGTAAAAGTAGCTTTTATTGTTTAAGAGGTTAAATATTTAAGTATATAATATTGTTACAGTTAAGATAATATTCAAAACGTATTAAAACTAATGTTATCCAGTTTATCGCATTTGTCTTATTAGTGCAGAACGTTTTCGACAGAGTATGGCACATGAGCCTTTAATGTAAACTAAAAAAAAATCCACACTACGCATACGTTCTCTACTACCTATAGAACTGGATATTCCAAGTAAGATGTAAGAACTGCTCATCAGGCTTCTACCAAATTCATGCTGGGATACGGCAAGGCTCTGTTTTGGGTCCTTGTCTGTACAAGGTTTGTACCGCTGATCTACCTTCGAGGAAGTTTTCACTGCAACCTTCACAAATGATACCGCCGTTTTATCGTTCGACAAATGCCGCAAACCAGCATTCCCAAAACTCCAAGAACGTCTGGACGAATTCGGACATTGTCTAAAAAGTGGAGAATCAAAGCTGCTAAATTCATGCACATAACTTTCACCTTAAGAAGAGCGGACTGCTCAGTACTTACGGAAGCATACTGCCGAGGCAAACTGGAATAGATTATGTACCTATATAAAATACTTACCTGACGTGAACTGCACTGATTAACAGGGAGATAATCCACGGTCATCCCAAAAATAAAATTATCATCCATACTAATATTATAAAAGCGAAAGACACTCTGTCTGTCTGTCTCGCTTTCACGCCAAAACTTCTGAACCGATTTAAATGAATTTTTAATTTCTCAGGCTCTAGACTATCTGTGTTTGGTACACAGATAGTCTAGAGCCTGAGAAAGGACATAGGCTATTTTTTAATTGGAAAAGTGTTGTAAAGGGTTGAAAGGTTAAAGAACTATATTTATTTAAGGGCTTTAACGCGAGCGAAGCCGCGGACGAAAAGCTAGTTTGTATCTATATATATATAATTGATATGGTCATATGGAATAAATAACGGGGCAACTAACAAGCCCCTCAAATTTATTAATTGAAAATCGAAATTGTTAATTTTAAGTGCCGAATTAACACGCGCTCTGCGGAAACCTGCATATTTTCAAAATAATAACAAAAAAAAAATATTTCGAAGATATGTGAAGTCCGCCAGTCCGCAGTGGGGCTGCGTGGTGGACTATGCCCTGATACCCTCTGTACAGAGGAGGCCTTTGCCCAGCGATGGGACATGTATATGCTGATACTTTTTATGATATACCAGAATTATTGATTACCTACTAAATAAAAAAAATTATATTTGATTATACTCTTGTCTAGATGACACATTTAATCATCATCATCATCATCATCATCATTTCAGCCTGTTTGAATCCACTGCCGAACATAGGCCTCCCCCAAAGACTGCCACGAAGTACGATCCTGAGCCACCTGCACCCATGGACTTCCCGCACATTTGCACAGGTCGTCACTCCATTTAGGAGGGGGTCGTCCTACACTGCGATGGCCAGTACGAGGCTGCCATTCGAGAACATTTCTTCCCCAACGGTTATCGGTTCTACTAGCTATATGGCCGGCCCATCGCCATTTCACATTGCTAATCCTCTGAGCTATGTCGGTTACCTTGGTTCTACTGCGGAAGTCTTCTCTACGAACTCTATCACGCAGAGAAATACCGAGCATATCCCGCTCCATATCAGCGCATATCAGCGCATAGCTCGCTGAGCGACTTTGAGCTTCCTCATACGGCCAATAGTGAAGGACCACATCTCAGTTCCGTACGTCATCACTGGCAACACACATTGAATGAAGACTTTTGTTTTCAAACATTAAGGGATATTAGACGAGAAGATATGCCGAAGTTTCCGGAACGCTGCCCATCCGAGTGGGATTCGCCGATTGACCTCTGCGAACCTCTCATTTAACCTTAGCAAACACAAAAATAAGGACTTGAACAATTCTTCGAGTGCATTTATATTATTTAAGTGACACTTGTGTTTTATTCCTAACCCATATAATATGACACATAACGGCCCAATGTAACACCGACTAATCAGAAACAACTTTCAGACAGTTCACAATTTAAAGCTCGACAGGTTGTAGATTTTACAGTTTCACTTCGATAGATTATAATCTACCGAAAAATAATGCGTTAAACAGTAAACAATAATCATCTCAGTAACAGTCAATTGTCTAGAATAAGATCTCAAAAATCTAAATAATAGCAATCCACTTTGGCGCTGAGATGAGGCTATTATGCTACAGCAACGCCATCTGATTGTATTTTATTTTATTTACATTTTCTATTTTAGACTACTCCCTAACTCTACGCTTCATAGTCCAATAATACCTGTTTCCGTAGTATTACTTTACTCTATGAATTATATTAGATGTCAATGAAATGTCATTGTCATTACATTGACAATAATACTAACACAGTTAATTCATATTTCATACAGTGATAAGACTTTTTGACAAATAGGTGAAGAGTGATAAGGAGTTACTCTCTAATATTTAATTTCAGTGAAATTTTTTATATGTACATTTATAAAATATAGGCATATTAAATACTTTACTTAGGTAACTAAACTTGTTGCATTAATTTATTAATGTTCAATTAAATTTAGATACTTAAGTACCTCAGATTTACTAATTACTTGCATATATATTTTTTTATATAATCGCATATTGAACAATTTAATTAGATACTAAATGTAAACCTAAAACTTCATTACGTTTTAAAATCAAAATAGTATAAAATATCTCCAATTGATTCCAAAAAATGATGAATTCAGTGTACGTAATACCATTAACAGTAGTGTTTCTATCATTTACTGTTTCATATTATTTTATATTGAATATTGCAGGTGGGTTCTGAAGATGTAATAATTGTAACCTTATCTAATTTTGTAAAATGAACTATATTACAGTTTTAGATTTGGAAAGAATGGCTAATAATGGTCTTATATTTGTGACAAATGCTGCAAAAGCCCACAGTCTTGTCTCCAAAGTGAATAAATTTGTGAAAAATATGCTATACATCAAAATTAATAACGACAGTGCAAACTTACTTCCAATTCTGAATAAACAAATAGTAAACATTTACAGTAATGTAAGTATATCATAAAATTTTCAATTTTGTATATTAACAAAATTCCTTCAGGTTTTGTCATGTGGTTGCAACATTTGCTTGCATTATAATTTAAGACACCAGTAATATAATTTAGAAAGAACATTATTTCCACTTTGGTGCAATAATTTATTTTAATAATAAATTATTTTTTCAGCTATCTTCACAAAATACTGATATTAGACTAATGTTAAAGCCCGGTAGTTCAGCAGATAAAGTGCAAACAAATCATCCTATAAATGTTATATTTTATGACAGTGAACTAAATAAACAAGTAGATGAATTAAAACAAACTGTGAAAAACTTAGATATGGTGCATAAAGTTGTAAGTGTTGGTAAGTATAGCAAATTTAATACTAAATGGGAAATACATTTCCAAAGATTCTTATTGTAATTTTAATAATGCAATGATAATTAATATATTAAATGATGTAAGTAAAATTATCTGTTCAATTGTAATTAATTACATTTTATGAAACCTAGCCAATATTTATGTTTTATTTTCATTTAATAATAAAGTTATCTTTATTGCTAAAAATTAAAGTGATGGTTGATTTAATTTTAAAGATTCACAAGATGCAGAAGAAACTTTAGCAGAAGAAAAAGTCAAGACTTATGAATATGTGGCAGTTGGTGGAACATTTGACAGATTACACAATGGACACAAAATTCTATTATCTGAAGCTGCCCTGAGAGCCACAAAACATGTTACGGTGGGGGTAACTGATGTAAATATGATACAATGTAAGAAATGCCAAATCATATTATTTTAAAATCAAACTTTTATTTGCTGTTGTAATATTGCCATTTATACAATTTTTTACAACATTTTAGTGCATATAGTTGCACACATGCAGTAGGAGTATTAATATGTTGTATACAAACTAACATGCACTCATTATTATTTACACTACCATAAATTAATTACACATTAAGTATGAAAAATTTCTTTTTCGTAATTTTATAATGTTTTTATTAAGATTTTATTTAATTATTACTCATTCTAATTTAATTAAGTATAAATCAAAAAGTTATGATAAAAAAATTGAGTAATACTAACATATTTTAATCCATATAAATTAAAGAAAACTGGACACAAAATTTTGTGAATTATTAATACTTAGTAGAAAGAAAAACAGGACACAAAATGATAAAATCGTAATGGAATGAAATAATCATACTCCATGGCGGGTCCATCCGGAGTCCATTGCGGGTTTGTGATAAAAAAAGACAATATAATGTTTGTTTGAGTTTGGTTCCAGTATTGACATTATGTACATCTGGATTCTTATTAAAATAATAATTCTATTAAAATAATTCATAACATATTATTGTAATAACTTCATTACAGCAAAAGTTCTTTGGGAATTAATAGAGCCTGTGGAAAAACGAATACAAGGTGTCCTTGACTTCTTAACAGACATAAATCCTGACCTTGAGTATAAAGTGGAACCTATTCAAGACCTCTATGGGCCAACCAAATCAGATCCTAGGTATGAGGTAAGGGATTTTATATGACAACTGTGAATATTTACTTTAGGGTTTGTTTTAACAAACTTTCCTGTTCCATTGTGATATTTTTTTAGTTTATCATTTGGTATTACTCTTACATTCAAACCCACGCTGGATTAAATTCCTCTCTTGCTTCTACCTGTTATAAAGTTACGGAAAACCTTGTCTTTCGGTTTTGTGAACATGAGTGTGTAAAGACATCATTCCTCTCCTCTTAACCAACCACATGGGTTCGGTACAGCATGTGAATTAATTTTAATTTTCATGTAAAATTTCAACGCTACATTAGAATTTCGAATTTGATTTCGGCGTTAGTCCGTTCTTCCCTACGGACACACGCATTATTTCGCCGTTTCGCTCGGGCGTGTGTTTTGAGTAGTTAAGCGGTCGCATGAGTCACGATTCGCATTTCCACACCAAGCTGATAGTGGTCAGCGAGGAGACGATGCGCGGCGCTGTCAAGATAAACCTGAAACGCGAGCAGAACGGCCTCAACCCGCTCGATGCGTACGTCATAGCGCTGGCTACGGACACGTCTTCCCAACGTTCGCAAGAGGAGGAGAGCAAAGTGAGCTCTAGTAACCAACGAATGAGGATCCTCGGAACTGTACTGAGGGAGCCCGAGGTAAGTACTTTCGAAGTGAAGTATCTTTGTCGTAGTTATGTCTTCGTGAGTTAACCGAGATCCGTTTTATTGAAAGGTAAAAGCCAACGCACTTGTAACCCTACGGATGTTGCAAATGTCCATGGGCGGCGGTTATCACTTTATACAGGTGAACCTCAATTGCCATCCTCTTAACATTAAAGAAAACTCCCGTATTGAGTTTTGTAACAGGTTCTTATATTTATTTAGTCTTTATTGCATTTCCTTTAATACGAAACGCAATAGGCGGACCTAATTCCTTTGGGCATTCTCTGCCAGTCAACCTATAGTGTGGAGAGAGATCTGATCTGTGAGGCGATCACTCAAATTGGTATCACTAGCGAAAGTGTACGTGATTTCGATATTGGATTATATTACAAGTGCGCAACTGACGACTGCTTCTTTTTTCTAAAATCGCGCCACATCATGACCATTGTGCCAGTTTCAAGTTAAAAGCGCCAACCTTTGTTTGATTGCTATGAAAGTATTCAACTCCCGTCCAATAGCATATTTGATCTCGTACTCCGTCCTGTTGTATCCGATCGTAGTACACCCTTACGCACTATCGTAAGGTCTGTAGAGTTTACTACTGGTATATATACTAACTTATACAAGTAGTAAACTCTACAGATGAATAATGTTATCAAGAAACATAATTATAAAATATTAAAAATAAAATAGCAGTCGTAGCCATTTATTTTATTATTAGCTTATTATAATAATATAATTTCTTTTCAGCCAAATCCCAATATTCCTGAGAGTCCGTACGTGATTGGTCTGGCTGGTGGCATTGCGAGCGGGAAGAGTAATATCGCCGAGAAATTGAAGTATGTATCCTTGAAGTAGTTGTTTTGCACAATCTTTGCTAATCACACAGTTGTGGCTAATTAAATGAACAATTAATCGGCGTTCAATTTGTTCATTTGGGTAGTACAATCGTAAACACAAGTTACTACAATACTAATTTCATCGGTAACTTTTTCATTGTCCAGGTATTGTGCAGGTCCACTGTCCATTGTTCAATGGCGTATTTAAATAATAAATTCAATATTTAGAAAGAAGTATAACCAAAATGTGGATAGCGAACCAATCATTATAATAATAATGCACTATGCTTTTGCGAGAGCTTAGTAGTAAATATCTACTATACATAGTGTTATTTAAGATTCTTAATTCCAGGCTTAAAGGTGCTGCAATCGTGAATTGTGATATAATTGCCCACGAGCTATACAAGCCGGGGCTTCCCCTGAATCGGACCTTGGCTGAGGTCTTTGGGGATCGCATAATAACGGACGATGGGGAGGTCGATAGAAGAAAGTTGGGCCAGATCGTATTCAGCGACAAGGTGACCATTCATCGCCCAATTAATTATTAAGCGATTCACCCAAATTGATTTCGATTTTTAGGGTTCCTGTCTGTCTTATAATATGGAGTAACCTGTAACTGCGGTTTTTGATGTTGTTGATGAGCATATAACCTCATCACCGTACTTCAACAAAGGCTTATGACCTATGCAAGGAAAACAAAGAGCATAGAACAGTAGCTAGCAGATTTTATCTCTTTCTAACTATGGTAACTGTCGTAAGCTTGTTGGAGATGCGTTAACTCCTTTAAATAAATTTGGCCCCGGCTACCTCACTCAGTGTAACACTTCCATTTCACGCAGATGTTCTATGAGGTCGTGGTACTTTCCCGGACGAACCTGCCCGTCCGTGAAACAGCGAACATTTTTGCGTGGCCCTACTCATTGGCGGATTTGCCCTAAGGCCTGGTAGGCCCGGGCCTAGGGCGATATTAGGAGCGGCCAATGACAAATAATTCACTGATGATAAGGAGAGATAACTAAGTTCTGAAATATATTCAAAATCAAAATCAAAATCAAATGTATTTATTCAACATAGGAGCATTACACTCACTTATTGATAGTCAAAACACTACCACCGGTTCGGAAAAGAAAGCCACTCTACTGAGAAGAACCGGCGAAAGAAACTCAGCGGGCTTTTTTTTTTTTTAAATAAGCAGTTTGACATAAATTCGTTAAAATACAATATAAGAACTCCGATTGAAAGAGCCTGGAGCGATCAGTTCATTACCAGAGTGTGTTATCATTTAAATAATCATTAATATTATAGTAGCCTTTAACACACAAACGTTCTTTTACTATTTTTTTAAATTTAGCTATTGATGCATTTTGAACGTTTTCTGGAATTTTGTTGTAATAACGTATACATTGTCCCATAAAAGATTTACTTATTTTACGGAGTCTACTTGTGGGTAGGATCAATTTATTTTTGTTCCTAGTATTTATATCATGAACATTATTATGTCTTAAAAATTTATCCTTATTTTTATGGACATACAAAACATTTTCAAAAATGTATTGAGCAGCAACAGTCAATACCTTTATCTCTTTAAACAAGTGTTTAAAGAGATAAAGGTATTGACTGTATATTCTCTTTAAACAAGTGTACATTCTAAAGGATCTTGCACGGGCCGCACTGCACCCCATGTTATAACAATAATCCTCAATCAGTTTCGTAAACTTTATGTACAAAATATAGAGATGCTATATAGTTATGTAGTGTTGTAAAGTCGAGCTGGCTTGTATAAAGCTCGCTTCTTAATAGAGTGAGACAGTATTTCCTGCCGGTCGATCGCTTGCATGTCTATAAAGCACAAGTGCACATCTGCACTTAAGATAAAATATTAAAATTTGTAGAAAAACGGACGAAAATATGACAAATTTATGCATCTCTGTACCATCGGAAAACATTACAAACTAGCTTTGGTGGTGCGCTTTCTGAATTGATTTCGATAAAAGTTTGTAAATTCATTATGTAGTCTATATGTTGGGTGCTGAGAAAGGGGCGGCTGGCATTTACCACATGGCCTGGGGCCTAGGGCGGCCATGTCTGGCAATTCCGCCATTGGCCCTACCACAGTTAAGCATACTATGACGGGATCCGTTCGCAGGAGCAATTGGAGAAGTTGAACCGGACAGTGTGGCCCGCCGTGATAGAAGAGGCGCAGAGGCGGATCAGGGCCCTGGGGGAGGCAGGCTACAAAGTGGTGGTGATGGAGGCCGCGGTGATGGTGAGGGCCAAGTGGTACAAGTACTGCCACCAGCTGTGGTCCGTTATTATACCACCGGCCGAGGTACGGACCCTTGACTCGTTTGGAGTTGTTTTTAAACCGATAACTTGCATGTATTTGAGGACACGATTGGCGTGGGGAGTAGTGAAACTGCCTCTTGCACTAGAGGATGTGGGTTCAATCCCACCGCTGGGAAAATATTGTGTGTGGTGAACATTGTGGTTTTCCAGTGTCTGGGTGTTTGTATATTTATAATATGTATATATTTATAAAAGAACAAGTATGTTGAAGTATGTTTATGAGTTTTGTAGCGCCCATAGTACAAGCTTTAGTGCATACCTAAGAAATTTCCGGACACCTTTCCAATTTCTCGCTTTTGTTGCTGCACTCTGTTCGTTACAATGTAATTTGATTTGTAAACTAATTTCCCGATTAGTTGAAAATTTAAAACTAACTAAATGATTAATTGTCCAACGATTCGTTAGGATATCATTAGTAATCTTATCCCATATTTGCACGTTTGATATGAATAAAGACGGGTCGAAAACAGAACCAGCAATAATCTCCGCGGTAATAGGAATATAGATTCATTCTTTAATTATTTATTTTTTACTGAAAACGCTCAAGACTGTATGTTATAAAAATGGTCTGAGGATTTCCAATGAGTAATTTCACGCATAAAATCATAAAATCACGCATGGGTCTGTGAATTATACAAATATATGCCGACACGATAAATACAACATATAAAATTCCGAGATATTTAGTCTCGGAATATAAAACCCTGTTCGTCTTGCTAACATCAACGGTTCAATCGACAGGCGATCAAGCGGTTGCAACAGCGCAACAGTCTATCCGAATTGGAGGCGAGGCAACGCATCGAGTCGCAGCCTTCCAATTTGGAGCAGGTGGCCGCCGCCAACGTGGTCTTCAGCCCCTACTGGAGCTACGATTACACTCAAGCTCAAGTCGACAAGGCATGGGACCATCTGCAGCAGTACATAGCCGGCACTACTGAATGATGCGGATACAAACGGAACAGTAGAAATCGTCAAATAAACGCTTGCTGAATTACGTCCGAATTGAGACAGAACGCTCACGACAGTTGCTATGATTTCCAAATGATGTTTGAAGTCAAACGGAAACATTTATACGTACCGAAGAAATTTAGGTGAAGCGCTTTTTAAATGTTGTTCAAGTTAGAAAAAACCTTAAAAATAAGTCGAAATCGATATTTGCCCGTTTTTTAAATGACATCTGACATTCTAAAGCCGGGCTGACCGTCGAAATTGTCGATGTAAGGCATGCGCGTGCACTCCATACAAGCAAAAAATCTTTGCATACCCTGTAATCCCATAAAAACTCGCCCTAAAACACCCAAAGCCACGATCATTTAAAAATGTTAATTGTTATTCATTATTTAAGTTTAACTCTTGACCTTCCATGTTTATTATTATTATTAGCGCAGTGAAGATTAATCTAACGCCATATCATTTATTGACATCGGTTCTTACATTTTTATATACACGAGTCAAGTGCATAACCCAACTTTTTTTCTGCTTCGCCGAAGTCGGGTAATGATATCCAGATTAGAACACAAAATCGTCACTTTGGCGTTTTTTAAATGGCGTTCGAATGTTTACGACCGTTAGTATGTGTTTTACAATGATGTTACAAGTTGGAACTGGACAGAAAGTTGTGGATCTTTTTAAATGTAGTTTTAAAGTACAAACTAGAACCGAGAATTAATTGCTTCAAAATCATTGCTATAAATCGCTTTACAGACAACATTCATATACAAGCATAACATAAACTTTGAGAGCATTAAAATCGCTTTATCAACCTGCATGCTTTATCAAAACTTGCTTAGGCATTTTCGTTACAATACTAATTGTATGTGACGTAACAGACTTGAATATTGCTTTTCGTTTAAATTTGGGTTACTATTAAATTCATAATTATATTAAATTACATTATAATAAAGGTCATTCCAATTTCTCACTATCTAATTATTTTAAAATCAAAACATAATGGTGTTCCTTACAAAATTCTAATTATATATATTTTGGGTTTTAAGGTGAAAGTGGTTATGGTATTGTTAACTCTGTATATCATATTTATATACATATATATTTTGTTGGATTTGCCTGTTTGTTATTAAAGTAATTAAACTATTGTTAAAAATTATAAAAATCATTGTAATATTATCGATAACACTTTACAACACGATTCGTTTTATTAATCATATCAGAAACTTATGTATTATTTAATTTAAAAAGTTTAAGTGCCTCTTAGGATTTCAACACCATATAGGATAAAAAATACAAACTTTCTTTTTTATCTATTTGTTAAGTCTTAAATATATCGATTTTTGGAATAATAAGCAATGATAGATTCTAAATATTAGCTATAAGCATAGTTACATAGTGTGTTAGGTCTTTTATACTTTCTCTGTGAAGGGTTTATTATAGTTATCGCATACAGTGTTGTTTGAATAAATATTTTCTTATTGACAAAATGTCTTTATTTTAAAAACAATAAAATGTATTTATAAAAAAAATCGCCAAAGATTTATTTTGTAACAACTGAATAAGTCATACCGGAAAATAAACAGATATCATAATTTATTAAAACAATACATTTACGTAACAGTTACAAACTTTATTTTCAGGTATCTTTTGGAACGACTCATTAAGCTTGGATCGCTATTTTCTGTGATTATGACTTCAATCAACAATAAAACATAGTATAATTCATGATCGTAGAGATATACTTACGCCAAACCAAAAAAAAATTCTAATTTCGAAAATGGAAAATACTCTGAATATTTCAATATCAATATTCCTTATTAGCTCTTGGAGTAATCAGCGTTGATTTGATGTCATCCATAACATTATTTTATGAGGGGAAACCATTTTGAAACTACAAAATTGATGGCGATCACTTCATGGATTGGATTTACCTGGAAACTTTCGTTCTTTTCATTCAATTTATTGTAATCCATCAGCGTTGCCGACTATTCGGGAATGAAATCATATCCACTGTAATGATCATCTCAGAAACTTTCCTAGTTTTATGTATGTCAACTTTGGCAGTCCACGGGCAAAGAAATTTAATGGTTCTTCAAGATAAAGAAGACATTAGAATGGATATAATTGTAAGTAAGTAAGTATTATTTACCATAATAAATTAGATAGTTTTATTTTTAAAGAATTATCGTTTGCAGAGCGAAATTGTTAAAAGACATCTGAAAACAAATGGATGGAACAACGTTCTTTGCTTCGGACATTTTCCTGATAACTTCTACAAGAACGTCCAAGATCTGCGTCTCACTTTCTCAATCTCTAACATCGATGTGGAGGACGATTACGATATAGAGGATGTAGTACCTTACCATTCAAATGTTGTTATCATTGACTGTTTGAGTTTTGAGCAATTGGAAGATATAATGACAAAAGTGGTGTCCACACCGTATTGGCATCCGTTGGCACACGTAATTCTCTATTACCATACTGTTGAAGATAGCAAGATGCTAGCGAGACTATTCTACATTTTATGGTATTATAGAGCAATTAATGCTATTATCTTTCAATATAACGATTCTGAGGACAAATTCTATGTGTCATATTATAACCCTTACAATAGTGAACCGTACCGGTACAAGCATGTCTACGGCTGCAGGTTAGCCAAGAAGATAGGCATGCCCTTTGATGACTTTGCAACCGCGTTCATTTGTGAAGAGGGCTGCGAGAAGATACCGATTCAATCCAAATTACGGATGAATTTTTTCGGCACTTGCCTAGGCTATGAGACGATTTCGATGCCCTACGATGAGAAGCTGAAGTTGCAGCGAGTCAATCTGTTCGAGAGCAAAGTGAAGAACTTTCACGGGTATCCGATGAGGGCGTACGGCGCCGAGGTGTTGCCGTTCCTTGAAATTCGAAACCACAGCGATGGAACGTACACGCTCCACAAGAGGGACGCAATGGTCTGGAACACGATGGCGGAACTCATGAACTTTACCATCGATTTGTCGCCCGCCGAAGGAAAAATCAAGAAACCTTTCGATTACGACTTGAACATTCAAATGGTGTTTTCATTTTCGCATCGCAAATTCGACTTGTTCTTATTCCCCGTTTATCAATTTGATTTGGTACTCGTGCAGATAGATAACACATTTCCTTACAAAGAAAGCGGTGTCTGTTTTTTAGCTCATCGGGCTGATTTCGAAACAATCCTTTTCGACGAGAAATTATTAATGAACAACATTAGTTTTATCATTCAATTCCTTTTATGTTTCATATTTTCGTGGTTCGTTTTCTTCATTTTCAATATCGAGCAACGTGGCCGAACGACTTTCGATCAAGCTGGAAAAGATCTTGTCAATACGGTGAGGACGATTCTTTCTATTGGTCTTTACAATCCACCGAAGCAAGGTGCCTTTCGCATTTATTTATTCATATCCCTGTGGAGTTTCTTTATTATCAATTTCTCCACTCAAGCCGCTATAATATCATTTTTCTCTGCCGCCAAAAGAGGCAAGGAGGTTGACACGTTCGAAGATATAGCTGAAAAGGGATACATCGTTGAAGGTATGGCATCCCCAGACGTCATCCTTCCGGATCATAAGAAGATTTATCGCGACATCAACTCCAGACTGATCTCGAACAAGGATTTGTTTGGCTGCGTCAATAAAATGTCCAATGACAGTCGTAGATTTTGCCTGCTCGACTGTGCCGTTTGTAAATACTTGGAGAGGAATAAAATGAACGAGAAGGGCGAGCAATATTTACACGTTGCCAAGGACAAAGCTCATGGCCATTACCTAAACATGCTCTTCCAACGGAACTCTGCAATCACCGAGTTGTATAATAAATACATTTTAGCAATCGTTGAAGCCGGGCTAGTCAATAAATGGGAGCAATACAGGTTTACCGAAATTAAAGAAGAGGCACCGGTTCGTTCGATGGCATGGGAGGATGTCGAAGGAATTTATAAGTGCTACGCCCTATTCCTAGGGCTGAGTATCATAATTTTTTTATGCGAAATGTCAATAAGAATCTTTGATATCATAAAACGATATTCTCTCAAAAGGATAAAGCAGTTTACAACAAAACGTGATGATATGGTAGCGGAGATTTCTTAAATTGTTCATTCTAAAGGTTTTTTTTTGCGTGTGAAGCACCTTTATGCTTGTCAGATACAAGATCTAAAAGTTTTTATGCATTTTGGCACTGACAATAAAATGAAAACATACTGTTGGTTTTTACTATCCTTACTAATATTACAAAGACGAAAGTTTGTATGTATGGATGGATATTTGTTACCCTTTCACGCAAATACTACTGAATGGATTGAAATGAAACTTTACAATAATATAACTTATACATCAGAATAAGACATAGGCTATGAATTATATACATATTTTATGTATAACATCTTAACTTTAATATAATATCTTTATGTTAATCGAGAAAAAAATTAGCTTAAAGTTTGTTAAATTCAATTGTTATCTTTAAAGTTCAGTTTTAATATTTTCTCTACGCAAATAAGTGAAATTGTTTTCTAAAGTATTACATTTTTTAAAACTACATAATTATCAGAAATAAGGATGTGCAAGGATAAATATAAATAACTGTACCATACACCAGATAGAATGCTCCAAACTTTAGTTTGATCATGGACTCTGAGCAGCAGGCCTACTCCCGACAGATTCGAGTTCTGAATCAATCGAGTTTGACTCAAATTCATGACAGTTCGTACCACTGCATCTGACGCCAGCGCACAATCATGTGCTTTGGCTCTAATTGGAACTAAGATCGAATAATTTTTCGGAAAAAATTAAGCAATTAACATTATACCTAAAAAAAGATGTTATAACCGTAAACATGGAACATTTGTCTGTGACATAATAGGCCGGATACAGTTAACGGATTTGATAACGCACGATCTTGTTTCTAGTTTCGATTCGGTTTGGGAGTAAGCTTTTTAAATCGAGTTCGAATCAAGAGTGAGTTCAAATCGAAAACAAAAACAAATGCGAATCGAATTTGGGGAGTAAGGCGGCAGAACTTACTCAAAAAGTTTTAAGAAAGTGCTTTGATTTGCTTGCTTTCCTTTTTAAATGCGAAGCAACTCTGCCATGATTTTGAAAGGCAACGTATTACTCGAAAAAAAGAATAGACTGGACAAAGAAAGATGAGTGCATGAACTACATTTTTTTATTCACATAGACGCTTGCGCGTTCTTATGAATTGTCAAAAATTTTACATAAAAATTAATACGTTCGTAAGTTACCACCGGTTCGGAAAGCAGTTTCTGTTGAGAAGAAACCGGCAAGAAACTCAACAGTTGCTCTTTTTTAAAACGATTAGTTTAAAATATAATAGAACAAGTATGTCATTTTAGCCTACGTGAGTATCAACAGCATTAACCCCACACATTGGCGTCTAATATGCCTTAGCCATAAGTTCGCTTTTAATTTTGCGTTTAAATTCATCTAGTGGCAGACTTAATACCGATTGTGGGATTTTATTATACATGCGCACACTTTGCCCCATGAACGATCTATTTACTTTTTGTAGACGAAACAATGGTGTAATTAATTTATCCTTATTTCTAGTACTTAATTTATGTCTGTCACTATTCTTTAGATACCAATTAAGATTATGTCTAACGTACAAGATATTACAATAAATATATTGGGACCCAACAGTGAGTACATTAATGTCTTTAAAAATATCTCTGAGTGTATCCCGGGCTCCGATGTTATAGATTGCTCGGACAGCTCTTTTTTGAAGAATAAATATAGAATTTATATCAGATGCACTACCCTACAACAAAATGCCGTACGATAACATGCTGTGAAAATAACTAAAGTAAACAAGTCTGGCAGTGTCGATGTCTGTTAGCTGTCTAAACTTCCTAATCGCAAAAACAGCGGAGCTTAGCCTACTCGCAAGAGATGATAGATGGGGACTCCACTGAAGCTTTGAATCTACTGTAATCCCCAAGAAAACTGCAGACTCAACAGGATTGAGCGATACGTTATTTAATAATAAACTAAAACTTTGCCTTCTCACACTAGGAAGAGTAAAAAGAATACATTTAATTTTTTTGGCATTTAATACCATATTATTTATGATGAACCAGTGAAGGATATGCAAAAGTGCACCATTTACGTCGTCATAATTAGATAAACTTCGGTCAACCTTAAATATGAGTAATGTATCGTCAGCGTCAGTACAAAATCACAAAACTCACTGGCATAAGAGGGGAGATCATTTATATATACTAGAAATAAAAATGGGCCCAAGATTGATCCTTGTGGTAAACCCATTTTCATGGGGGACCCTGCGGAATTAACATTATTTATAGATACTTTTTGAATTCTATTACTAAGGTGATGAAGATTGAGGGCGCTCTCACGAATGCCATAATAATCTAGCTTGCAAAGAAGGGTTTTGTGATCTACGCAGTCGAAGGCTTTTGAAAGGTCACAAAGGACACCTAACGCATATTGTGACCTTACCTTTCGTTTTTGTAAGTATTCAAGATTAATTCTGTGCAACATTAAAACTTTGTTTTATTGCAATTGGTTCACTAAAAAAAAGCTATGTGAATACTCACAAACCATAGGTTCGATTTTAACGGGGTATTTGACAGGGTGACAGTACAACTTCCTCGCAATATTTAAGCATCATTTGATCGTAATTAGTTTACTTAAACAGAATATACACGTTATTAGCTACTGGATCAATTGGAACAGTTTTTAATTTTTTTCAAATGTCGTAGTAGCTCCCAATACAAAAAATTACCTTCCATAAAAATGTTCTGTCAGTGATAAAATTTTAACCACGATAACGCGAATTTTCAGTTTCATATTAAAAAATCATACTTTTTTTTATTATTTATTAACAAATTCTTCAATTAATAGAATTACAGTCCAGCATAGGTAAGTTACGATAAGAAAAGGAATTAGTTGCCATGCAAAAACTAGATGGCGTTGTTCTACATAAAATGCACTGTATACATATTTTCACAAGTTAATTATGGGACGAGCGCCGACCATTTGCATTTTAATAATAATAATGCGAATTTCTTCGATTGAGATTTATACGATAGGTACGATTTTACTTTTGCTCGGTATAGGGATATTCTTGATTTTGGTTTGCGATTTGGTTAGTTGTTACGAACAGTAGTGGATTTCTCTACCGGCCGCGTACTCGGCCATGAAAATTATAACAAATCAAGCGGGCCTGATAAGTAGGTACCATTCTTCGGCTCCATAATATCATGTACTAACTTTCTTTGTTTAATTTTTTGTGCCTTCCAGCGAGTCTTTTCTCTTAATCTTTAATGAGCCTAGGGCGACCAACGGACAAATCTGTCACTGTTTAGGAATATAGATTTGGTTAGGCTAGGATATTCAGATATTATTTTGCTTTGTGATTTGGAAATTATGTTTGTTTTTTGTCACTGACCCACAAATTATATCTGATATTTTTTTTTTGTAATTAAGATACTTATTTTGTAGTATTTTCTAAATAATCGAATTTACCTTTTAATATTTATTACAAAAATGCCTCGATAGAATAAAAAGAATGAGAACGATTTGATTTCAACAATCTAATGAAACCAAACACGACTTAGTGCTGATACCCATTTCGGCATAGACGCTATTCATTATCTCGCACATTGGAGTCAGTTATAGGTTATGACATTAAAGTAAAGAAAAAAGTTAACTGAGAGTGAATTTTGACCGAACACCTGTAGAGGCCGTTGACAGAACACTACAGTACATGGAAGAGATGAAAGGCCAATGGGGAACGTCACAGTTGTTTTCTCTGGAGTAAATAAATGCCTCACAGAAGCGTTCTTATCTCTGGTCTCAAAAACATAAGTTGCGGTTGACATAATATAAAACATAAGTCGGTATAAAATTGAGCAATGGTGGATTCCATTTTCAACTTCATATAAACTGAGATTGTCACTGGGTGTGGCTCAAACAAAATTGTGTTTATTTTGCGAATACCACTCGCTAGATCACTGACCATTGCGCTGTTGTCAAGGCATTGCCTTCGGCGTGGGTTCGATTCTCACACGAGACAATTATTTGTGTGACCCATAGTAATTGTTTCCCAGAAGGCAAAACTGTGAATGTGGTATTTAAAGTGATATTTTATTGTACACTAGCTTTTCGCCCGCGGTTCGATATTTAGACAGTTGAAATTTTCACAGATGATATATTTCTGTTGATGCTATAACAACAAATAAAGGATATCAGATGTTTTTATGTGGGGCTCTCATACAACAGACATAATTTTATTGCCTTTTTTATAGATTATTATGGTGTACCCTACGTGCACGATTGCGACTCGCACTTGGCACTTTTTAAAATTTATATAATCTAACAATTATCATCATTTTACAGACCATAATATAATTATAGTTAACTATAGTTTCATCCAATTCAGCTGTAGCGATAACTTGTTTTTAAGTTGATATAACTTTTTTATTTATGAACCGATTTGAATAAAACTAACACTAAATGTAAGTGAAGTACTACAACGCATTAGTTAAAGTTCCACCCAAATCAGTTAAGCCGTTTATGAGATTAACGCGCACAAACGCACATACACACAGACAACAATTTTAACAACCATTGTTTTGAGTTCTATTGCGTTGATATAGGGGGATCTTTGATAATAGTTTTTCTCAAATATCTTCCATGTACAGACAAAGACAAGTTACATTTTTATTATATATTTTTTTATTATTATTTATTATATATATCTGTCTGTATCTGTCTGAATTTTTCGCTTTCACCCTATTCCACGCGGACATAGTCGCGGGCAACAGCTAGTCTTGAATAAAACAGATTCGTCTCCTCTTCACAGTTTGGCTTTCGAAAAAAAACAACCGAATATCCAGTCTGCTTATTTAATCTCATTTAGATAAAGGATGAGACTGTAACATCTTTCTCGATCTTACCAAAGCTTTCGATACAGTCTCTATTCCTCATAACTACTGTCCTTATCCCACATAGGAGGGGTCTGCACAACATGTTGTAAGTCGTTTTGGCTAGGTTTTTTACGACCGGCCGCCTGTCTGACGTCAACCCTCCTGGAGAAGAAAAACCCA